TCCTGGCTGCCATGAATACGGACGGAGGATAACCTTGGGGTCTCCACTGGAAGCTATGGTTAGAAAGCCAGACGTGCAAGACAGCAGGACGGAGCTCAGAGTCCGGTGTCCAGTTCCTCTGGACCCCGAGCCATTTAGACGGGGTCAAACGTCCAAGGTGCCCAATGCACCTCCATACCCAGTCGAACCGGTGAAGATTGCCACCATGAAGGTGTGGGTCGGTGTGGTTCGTACGCCTCCTCTCGGCTGTTTTAGAATCAGAATTTTTAGCCAACTTTCCTAGGTGCACTACCAGTGGTTCCCCGATCCGGTTATAGCCCCGGATTTCGGCTATTCGTCCTCTCATTTTGGTGGGAAAACACCGCCACGAGAAGGCAGTGAGTAGGGCTTCCTCAGTAGGAGCTATTTGAGACGCTTGCTCGTATAGGAGCATAGGAAGGATGACCAGTTACAACCCATCCTGACCATACTAAGGCTTTCGGAGGCGAATATGAGAGAAATTATTTAAAATTAGGTTGAGTCGGTTAGAGGCTAAACAGCTGTGGTTCACTACTTATTTTCTTGAGAAGGATCTTCCCTTCTATCAGTTAAGCTGCTTGTGTATTTTATTTCAATGCACCAATGGCTTGTTTTGCATCTTAGTTCAAACAACCAGTACAAACAGTACAATACAAACCATCAAATACCTTAAATACTTCCCATCTTCCTCTTTAAGTCCTTGTCTGTAGCTATAATGATATATATGTATATATATTGTTCTAATGACATGATTAGGATACATTGAAAATGATCTCGTTTACCAATTTATGTTCTCATCAAGTCACAGTACAAAATAATCTTTATAAAAGAAGAAAAAGGTTCATGATTTGCCGGATAGCACGATACTACTAGGTTGCCCAGACCAAGACAGGTCAATTTTCTGAAGGGGGGGGGGGGTTGAATGCCATTCATCGTCGTACGCTTAAAGACTGAGCTCATCAGATAATCATGCATTATGCGGACTTCCGTTCCATTTTTCCAAACGGTATTATTTATTTTCGTAGACTTACCACAGCAGGGTTTTGGAATACCCGTACCCGAGAAAGTGCATATTTAGGTTTTACTTTGATTACTCTGATTGGCGAGGGCTTTACAATGGTCTGTACAATCGACCTCTTTCTTTGACAGATATTTTGGCTCGCGCTTTTCAACAATACGGATCGTGGGACAAAATGAATGTGGATCCAATGCGACATTTACAGGAGGTGAGCCCACACACTGTCACAGACTGTGGCGATCTTGCTTTCGCTTCTTATCAAACCGAAATGCTTCAAATGGTATGTTTGCACAACTGGACTGTGTACTCTGTGTGTCCCCAAGAATAAGTCCAATCCCTATCCTCCTCAAACATTCTCACTTACCCTGTATGCATTGCGAGCTTTTCTCAGCGATCAGTGAAGTTCGCTTCACTGTATTAAGCTGTGCAGTGATGATGGTGATGTTTTCATCCTCGTCATGGTCATCGTCGTCACCCACTGCGTTGCTTCTCTCCTTGTTGAATGGCATTTGTATTCGTTTAGGCACTCATCATCATTATCTTCATTGTACAGCGTAATGCAGTGAAGCAAAATTCACTGATCGCTGCCAAACTCACAATGCATACAAGGTTAATGAGAATGTTCGAGGACTATAGGGATTGGACTTAATTTTATGGACAGGAAAATAAAATGAACCTTTGTGGTCATCACAGAGACCACAGTCCACCTGTGCGTGCATACCATCGCCAATGCTTTCTGTTTGCAGCCATGACCATGGCAGCGACTCCTACCATGCAGTTACGGAGTCTTTTGGACCCTAAACTGGAATACGAGAGATACTTACTTTATCTAATCGCTCCGTTCATTTCTTCATGCCTCACCTCCACGTCACCTGCTGGCCTCCACATGGCTTTCTCCAATCTGCAGCGGCCATTGCAAATAAGGCGCGCTGTGGTAAGAGACGGTGGGACATACGTAAAACGTGCGCTAACCAATTGCATGCACTCGCGAGTTCGTGTTCGATGCCCTCCCAAACTCCCAAACTCTCGATTACCTACTTCCAGGTTACTAACCGGCTCACTCCATCTCACCTGGGCCAGACTACGTTAGCATTGATTGTTGGAAATCACTAGGCGATGAATGTCTTCTTTCCGCAAATTCATGGTCTCACAACCGTAAAGCAGAACCGACCACACAGTGGCATAGTATACGCGACATTTCAACTTCGGTGAAACGTCACGTCATCGCCACAGGTGTTTTACTCCTGAGGATTCATTAGGATGCAGTGGAACTCCTAATTGCATCATACGCCGTTGTGCCCAGGATTTTGGGCATTCAGTCAAGGCTGAGAATTTTCTTTGCCTGCAGAACAAAGTTGTTGGGTGACAATGGGTTTGGTATGTACTTTGCACCATCAAAGTGCAAAGCGCTTGTTCAAAACCCATAGGAAGCCTTTGTCTGCACTCACCCTCTGTGGTGATCAGCTGGAACTAGTTGAAAGCTTTAAGTACCTCGGGAGCTTGATCGCAGCTGGTGTTGGTGTTGGGAAGGAGATGACATCACGAATAGCGGAAACTAGAGCAGCTTTCGCCAACCCGCGATGCCTGTGGCGCCGCTATGACATCTGAATATTCCTTAAGCGAAGGGCGTACATCGCCGCGGTTCGTAGTGCTCTGTTCTACGGTCGTGAGACTTGCCTCTCCGTTTTGTAGATGCTTATCGACTTTCTGTATTTTGTCACTGATGTCTCCGAAGCATTGCTCCTGTCTGGTGGGAACATTGGGTGAGCAATAACGAGCTTCGATGCTGTGTGTTGGGAGTGGATAGTCGTTTTCTGAAAGCAGTAATCGCCCTGCACCGCCTCTGTTGACTGGGTCAGCTATTGCGTATGCCTGCCCATCGACTACCTTTCCATGCTCTCTTTGCACATGTTCGGCAGGGCTGGAAGAATTGCCGCGGCGGTCAAACCATGACTTGGCGTTGGGGTGTGAGGAAGCTAGCTCCAGCTCTCGCTTCGATTGGCGCAGCCCGCCTTCCAGGTTGGGGCCCAAGAAATGAGGACGCTCAGAGATAGAACCCATAATAGAAGTTAGTGCCGTGAATGCTGTACGATCTGCCTGTTGAAATCCCGTGCCTAATAAAAAAAAAAGTAAACTAACACAGGAAAATACAGTGAAGGAGACAAGAAAATGTTTATTTTCATTATTCACTATAACCTTTTGACTCCGTTGCACTCTGCTTTTTATCCCTCCCCGTCTACTGTTGTTCTTGCTGTTGCGTTGGCATCAAGCTTGCTCGCAAGCTGACGAAGTAAGTATATATACAGACCTGCTTCGAAAACTGACCGCAGCGTTGTTCCAGCTATACCTTGAAAAGTTACCATTTAGATTCATTATCGTCACTCGTTTCTCTGTCATGTACCGATGCATTCCAGTTTACCAGTTTTCACCACGGTCGGCTGTTCTTTTACTCCATGCATCGCATAACGCATTGCAATATGGCAATACGGACTAGGTGAGATGCAAGGACAGCACGCACAATGGACTGTAATGAGTCTTCGATTAGCAAATAGCATTTATTTGACAATAAACGCCTCCCGTTCAACGAAAATACAACGATCAGTGTTAGATTTGAGGTCAGCAGTTTCTTTTCCTAACTCTCCTCTCTCTCTCGCCCTCTTTGTGTGTTTGCATTAGATCTATGTTCGGACAAACATGGAAGACAAGACATCCCCGAATACGGCAACCTCCAATCCTGTCCAGTCCTTTTCCGATTCCGATCGGATGGCTTGGTGGGCTAAAGTTCGTCAGATAACGATCGATCATCTCGCTGAAACGTATGCGGTATGTTGAAATCACAAGCATGCTTTTTGTTTGATCATTTTTGACCGGTTCCGATGTTTTCTACTTTAATACACAAATGCGTACGTACATACTCACAGTGTTATGTCGTTTAATATCACTCACGGATCACACACAGCTCAATGACGCAAAACACAGTATCGACAGGGGCACATTATGTCTCTAACGCAAGTTGACACAATACAAGACCACACACAGTACATCCGGTGCTCACAATAATGATGGACGAGAACACGGATTGGACGAACAAAAATGATGTGCACGATATCACAGAGAGAGAGAAAGAGAGAAACTTTGCGGAATTTTTCAGTCGGCTGCTATAAACTGGATTAGACGAGGAGAGTGAGAATGGAACAAAAAGATTTAAATTATTAAAAGAATTGTGTTTTAAAACACTTACCTAACACAGTCTCGTGTTTGTCCGTATCCCGAAAACATTGAAAATAACTGAAAACGTCCAAAGGAACACGTACAACGCATCACTGCTAAGGTGTTTTATCTATGTACATTTTTATGTCCATATTTGTTTACGGATACGCTATGGACAGACCGCATCTTTGACCACTTCCATCACTGCCGTGATCCTTTGCAATTTCAC